TTTTATCTAATGTTTCATTTATACGTTATATATATATATATACTTTATTTTTTATTATATATGTATATTATTTTTATTTTTTTACTTTTACTTTTAATTATTATTATTATTGTTTTATTATGTTTTTCCTCATTTTTATTTATACGTTTATATATATATATTACTTTATTTTATCTTTTTGTTTTATCTTTTTTGTTTTATTTATTTATATTTTATATTTATATTTTTTTCTTATTTTATTATGTAATATATATATATTATCTACCTTGGCCCCATCCATTTTTTTTCTTCATTTCATATCTCTCTCTGTGACAATGTTTTTCTATTTTTTTGGTGAATTGATAGGTTAGGTTTGTTTTTTTTATTTTTACTTTTATTTTTTCCTAGTATTTTATATGTATATATTTATTATTCTTTCATTATTGTTTTTCTCTTGTTTTATTAAACACTATATTATATATATATATATATATATATTCTTTTTATTCTTTTTACTATTTTTATTTTATTTTATTTTATTTTTGTTTTATTTTTGTTCCTGTTTTTTATTTAATTCCATTTTTTTCTTTGTTTTTATTCTTGTTTTATTTTATTTTTTATTTTATTTTTTTTATTTTATTTTTTTTGTTTTGTTTTATTTTTATTTATGTTACCATTTTGTTTATTTTTATTTTTACTTATTTTATTATTAGTTTTCTTTGTTGTTCTGTTTATTATTTTCATATGTGCGCACTTTCTGTCTTAATTCGATTCTATACTTCACTACAAATCTAACATTTTTAAAGGGTATTTCAATCGATCAGAGGTAAGTAACTTGAATCCTATTTTACCTTTCAATTTAACTTTCAATTTTTTTAATTAAAGATAACTGGAAATTAATTAGTACCGAAAGGGCAGTTCAAGGGTGTTAATCCTTCCTTGACTATAACCGACTCCTGAATCCGACACATCTTTGGTAAAACGCAAATCAGGTAAGATGATATCCGATCAACCTAATTCTTGTCGAAAAATAAATGATCGGTGGTGACTCTAACGTTTTTTTTCAAGTCGAAGCCCAATTCCGAGCCCAACCGAAAGACGGCTCCGACAGTTTGCAATTCCAAAACTGCCAGAACTAAATAAAACCTTTACGGTGGAGGTGGAGGTGGAGGTGGAGGGGGGTGGGGGTGGGGTGTGGAAGAGGACATTTTTATACATAGTCAAATAATGAAAATTAAAACTAAAAGGTGATATTACATCTTATGATTGTTTCATGATTTTTTTTAAGGATGTTAACAATTTGGGGTAAACGATATAACGATTTATTGTTGAAGGGACATTAAATTAACATAAATTTAAATTTTTATAGATAGTTTATAAGTGGTAAATTTGAATTTAAACATTTATTAATTTAAGTGTCGGTCTATATTAAATTTATCTAGACATGATTATTTTATTATAATTTTACAGATTTCAACCATCAAATTTAATCGGATTGGATTGAATCAAATACAAATTTTAATTTAAAATATTGAATTAAATTTCAAATCGATCAAGGTCTCCTAAATCCAAATCAAATATGAGTCGAAGACTTCAATTTTTCAATTGAATTCTAATATGTGAAAAACCCGATCCAACTTAACTGTTGTGATCTCTATTCCTATCCAAATTTCATTCATAAGTGGAGACAAAGGGTTGGTAGGCCTTTCCTCATGAAATGGTTAAAATTTTATCTTGACTTTCCTATTTTATCCCACCAAAAGTTATATATTTCAATTTAATCATATTGAAAAATATTAAATGAATAAAATTAATTTGGTGGCTCAATTCCTCGAACGCAGACTTTAGTCCACATATAGATTTATAGAACATAAAATCATTTGGGCTAGACAACTTTGCTTTGTTTATTTTGCATCATGATAAGTGGTATTACTGAATTTTATAATATAAAAAACATTGGTCAAATCATAAATATTAAATATAATAATTATATATCAATCTTATTAAACGTAAGGATAAATTATTTTATTTTCAGTGAAGCTTTTAAATTATTTGAGTTAATAAAAAAATATTACGTAAGCAAGTTAATAAAAATTATCTTGACTTTTAAAAAGATTTTAATCCATTTTTTTAAACTATAGACCTACTAGTTGCCGAACATTTAATAACTTGTATAGACCGTTGACGAAAATATTCCCAACACAAAGTATAAGTTCAAATCAAATTACCTCCTCTTAGGCGTGGTAATGGGGCGGGTTACGGTTTTGAATTATCCAATTCGTCCTAAACACTTGTGTTTACAGTTTTAGAGAATCCTCATTATATGTTTGGAGATTTTTTTCCCTCATACACATCTCTTATAGATTCTTGTGGATTTCGGTTAATCTTCGTCTCTAAAAATAAACAAACATTTTTTAAATCAATGCAACACTTAAAACTTGTAAGATATATCAGATTGTCTCAAATTTGTCTCTATCTATAATATGAAAGTTTGAAATATTAATATTCATCTAACACCCAATGTATATGTACAATCTTAATCATTTTCAATCTCAATAAATCAATGTATATTAAAAGAAAAAATATATATATAAACTTCAATTTTAGTTCCTTTGAGATGTAACGTGACAAAACATAATATTACAATCTTATCATATATAATTTTTATTAAAATATATATTAAGGGTATATAGGTAAATGATTATAAATATATTTTTAAAAATTTATAAAATATAAGAGATTCCTACGGATATTTTTTGGGAATTCCCACAGTTATTCACACGGATACGGTTCGGTTATCCCTACGGTTCGGATATAACAATCTCATCCTCATCCCCATTTGAACTCCGTAGATAAAACTTCCTCTATCCCCATCCCTATAGATGAAGATTTCAATTATTCCCCAATCGCATCGATTCAAATCCTCACGATTTTCGATTTCCCCACCTGATTGCCACTCCTACCTCCTCCCCCAAAGTTACCTGACTTAAAAACTTGTCAAATTTGTGCGAGATTATTTTATATTTTTGGCGGTATTAATTTATATATTTTTGTATTTAATAAGTTAACTTAATTAAAAAATTTAATAATAATAATAATAATAATTTGATATATTTTTTTTAAATTTTGTAATATCAATGCAACATTATCTTCTAGTGATACATTAACAATCATTATTGTTCTTTTAACATTGAGCGACCAAAATAAAATTAAAATATAATATTTGGTTTATTTGAAAAAAATAATTAGAAGACTAAAACATAAACTAATAAATAGGTGGTTGATCAAATGTATAGTTTGCCCTTTAATTTTTGAGTAAATTATGTATTTAGTTACATGACGGTCACTTTCGTTCCGTTTTTGATACTCAACTATTTCTTGTCAAAATCATACTCAATGTTGTGCTTTGATCACACGACATTAAAAATAAATAGAACTACTAACATGGAGTTTTTTTATTTTTTAATAATGACATGATATTACCTTATAACGATATACCGGCATCAGCATTAATTATCGACGGTGAGTAATGAAACATAATTTAAGATATGATTTTGAAAAAAAATAGTTGCATGACTAAAATAAAATCAAAGTGATAGTCACTAGACTAAATACTTAGTTTAGCCTTTATTTTTCAAAGGAATTAACGTTCTTGTTATTCTAAGTTCTAACGCGCATCGGACACGGAATTTTGGCTTAACTTCCAAGGCCAAGTAACATATATTATATTAAATAATTCATTTTATTTTTATTGTAAAGTGTGTTCTTTTATGGGAACGGACGTATCGTAAAGGTATATCTCCCTATCAAAATGGGCTGTATTACCCATCAACAACCAAATGCTGTACAGCACTTTAAAACTTTAAAGGGAATCTTAAAATTTATTACACATTAAATCAAAATTTATGCATATTTTTATTAAAGATATCAAACTTTATATTGAAGCGATCTTAAAGAGTTACAATAAGCATAAAATTAGGGATGGTAATGGGACTCGAATTTGACGGGTTTTCACTCGATCCGATTCGATCGGATCAATTTAAAAAAAAAACAGGGTCGGGTCGGGTCGGGTCTTTTTAAGTGTGATATTCGAGTCAGGTTTGGTTCGGATTTAGGGAGAAAAAATATCCGATCCGACCTGAACCGAAAAATATATAATTTTATCTTATATATTTAGGAATAATTATAATAATACCCCTCTATATATAATTGTTTTCAATTAAGTCACTGTTTTATTGAATAAAAATATTTTTTTTATTATTTCAGGCCGGATTTCTAAGTTATATATCAGGTCTGGTGAAACCTTGTTTTGGTTGGGTCGGATCGGGTCTTGGGTGGAGGCTCCCTTGTTCTCTGGTCGGGTCGGGTGGACCAATAACCCGACCCAACCCGACCTATGTCCATCCCTACCTAAAACATAAATATTGAGTATTCAATTGATTGTATAATTGTTTAATGTGAATAAAGATATTTTTATCAATGAAGTAAGGGTGAAATCGTATCTTAGCTGGTCTATTAGTATTATTTAAGTGCTATAAGATTATTACTTTTAGAGCTTGCAACATTGATAGATGTCTCTTTAAATCATATACAAATATTTATTATGCATGAGACAAATTAAAAATGTATTTGATTAAAATTACTGACCTAATATATTTCGAAGATATGTGATTTTCTTTCATAGAATGAGATGCTAATTATTTTGTACGAAGAAAAATAATTCTAAAGATGATTTTGTAAGAAAAAGAAATCAGTGACTAAAATAGAAAAAGGCAATAAGTTGTTGAATAATATTATAATTTACCTAAACTTTTACATCGATATTCTTATTTCCACTTATTATTTACGATCATAACGCCAAGCACTAAAAAAATCTATGTGGGCAGCCCATTTTGTAAATCCTGCCAAAAGAAGTAAATGACGAATCGTTCACAACTTCAACAACAGTGAAAAGAATTCAAAAATGGTATACAAATTTCACTATACATATGCATGTATCCAGTTCCCTTATTCCCCACGCTTCCCACAAAGCCTTATTTATCTGGGAAAAAAATTCCCCGGAAAGAGAAGGAAAATAAAAGAGATAGAGAGAAAATATCATTCTCGTTGAAACTACCTGCAGAAAAATCAGAAAACAATGAGTTATTACAATCAGCAACAGCCTCCGGTCGGTGTTCCTCCTCCTCAAGGTCAACTCCAGATTCTTCGTTTAATTGCTTTGATTTTCTTTCCTTTTTTAAAATCACATTCATTTTGTATATTTTTCCTTTTTTTTGCATTGCGATTGAATGGATCTGGTAATCTGGTGGATCTGATTCTTTTGTTCCTTTTGAAATTGTAAGGTTATCCACCGGAAGGATATCCGAAGGACGCTTATCCGCCGCCCGGATATCCTCCACAGCAAGGATATCCTCAAGGTTATCCTCCTCCTTATGCACCTCAGTATGCTCAGGGGCCGCCGCCTCAGAAACAGCAGAGCACTGGTTTCATGGAGGGCTGGTAAGTCCTTTCTATCATTCTCTGTACGCTTTAGGATTTCCTTGTACAGTACAACTTTATACCGAGTATTTCTGTAGCGTATATACGGCTTGCATGTCAGATCTACGGTTTTTTCGCAATTGCCGAAAAAATAAACAAACAGATCTTCAAGTTTTCACATGAACAGTCAAATTGTTCAAGTTTTTTTGGTGAAAAGTCCCCAAAACACCCCTTGGTCAAGCTTTTGATATAGTCTTCCGTTTTGCAAGTCGGGGTGTTTTGGTCATAGAAAATTGTCTTCTACACTTTTCTTTTCAATTTCTGGTTGATTTGAAATTTCAACTTTGAAAATCAATCAAATCTGTTGATGTCGATAATAATCACAAGGCGTTTGAATTCTTTTTTTTCGGTGCAGTTTGGCTGCTCTGTGCTGTTGTTGCCTGCTGGATGCTTGCTTCTGAAGAACCGAGCTTTTGCCGGCCTTAATCGAATCAAATGCTCTTCATTTTCGCATGTATCTCTCTCTTTTCTTCTTGTTTTCTATTGAATCGGACCTTTGCTTGGATTTAAAACTCTCTGTGATACTGTTCTTTAACTTCAATTATATACATCTATATTATTTATCTTAATTGATCCACTGAATCACCCGTGAAGTGAAGAATAATCTGTATTTTGATCCGAGAACTATCTTATAATTTAACTAATTATTAAACAATCGAAATTATTATGTTATATTTATCAAATCTACAAGCCCCTTACTCGATTAATGTCTTTTAGAATTGTTGATTTGGGCCTTTGGGGTACACGAAAGGATGAAACAATCCCTTGCAATTGAAGACTAATTAAATTAGAATTGTATCCAATAATCAGCTCAGCTTGCCGTCGTACATGTAATGTAATTATTGTTTGGTTGGTGCATGGTCTTTTCATTTAAGCAACCCAATCCTGATCTTTCATTTTCTAATCAATTAAATATTTAATCGAGAGTCGAATTAACAGTTAAATCTTTATAAAAGAAAGCATTAAATCAAGATGTATTTTAATTATTAATTTATCTGTTTATATTTTTTTATTAATGATTGATATAGAAAAATACATGGATTGAATTTGTAATTTGGTTTTCTAAAATCAAAATTTACTTTTATCCAGCTTATACCCCTCCTCCATCCCCATACCCACCTAATATTTTTCAATCTACCATCCGCTCACCACTCATGATGGGTACAAATTTTCAAATCCATACCCGTCCACGCGGGTACATTCTCAAATTCATCCCCACCACTACCTACTAGCGACATACCCGTATAGACCCGCCTGACAGCAAACTTAAGTTATACATAAGCAACAAACATAAAAAAACAAGTCCATTAAGAAACATAATAAAATAATCCAAGGATTATCTAAGTTAAGTGTTAATATAGATCTTAAAGTACATAAAACACCATAATAAAAGACATAATTAAAGTCTAAAACATAAATGACAAACACATAATGTTTTTGTTCTTTGGCACAACATTTAAAATTTTAGGCAATACTTGTGACATCTGATACTTATTACAAACATCATTATCTATTTCCTCCAATTGAGAGCGCTCCAATTTAAATTCACTACTACCTACATATATAATAGAAAGTAAAACTAATATAAGTTAGTAACTAAACTTTAATAAGATAATTAAGCACAATTTGACAACTAATATAAACTAAATAATAATATTACCTTTAATATCGGCCCAAAGCCAATTATGAGCACACATTAATGCTTCAATCGTCTCCGGAAGTAGTAACTACGACAAGGACCATATTAAAGACTAAAGAAGAGATCATATTAAAGACTAAATATCCCTAATATTTGGTTAAATTACATGTTATATCTATACAATATTAGAGTTTATAAATTAGTCTCTAAAATTACACCTAAATTCATAATGGTCCAAAATTTAATGGATATTTAACTGGGCGGGCGGATGCGGGGCGAGTAATGTCTCAAACCCATTACCTGCCCACAACCACGACGGGTACCACTTTATAAATCCACACTGTCCACTACCCGCTAAAATTATACTATCTCTGCCCCAATTGAAGCGGATGCGATACAAATCACGAAACTATACTCGTTTGCCATCCCTAGCTGCCAAGAGATCCAATATTTATTAAAATATATTGTTTACCTCTTTTTCTGGTAATATGTTGTTTTCTCTCTTCAAATAATAAAGTAAGATGTTGTTTTCTCTCTTCAAATAATAAAGTAAGAGTATTTATAAATTCAGCCATACACACTAAAGAATATTGTTTTGATGTCAAGTGACACTGACATGGGTTGTATAAATAAAATTAATTAAATTTACATACAGACATAAAATTATTTTCAAAATATAAACTTAACAATTTTTTTAAAATTAAAGTAATCTTGAATTTCACATTTTTTATTTTTATATCTTTCTAAAAATGCTACACACCATCAAAATAATTAAAAGATTAATGAAAATATCACAAAGTTTAAGATGTTCAAAAACATTACTGAATTTGAGAAAAAATATTTTATTTTATTTCATAAAAACTGATAAAATATCACAATTCATATTTAACTGAATTTCCAAAAACAAATGATCAAACCTTTGTTACTCTTTTGTTAGTGCAGTCAAAATTCAGAAGCCGCCAAATTCGCGGGACACGTGTCGATACCAGATCCATTCAGGGATCGCAGCGTGCTTCCACACGTGACACGAGTAAACCCTAGAGCCGTATTTCATAAACAACATAAAGAGAAAGGGCAAAATAAAAATTTAGAAACCCTAACAAAAATTTCCGCCAGAAAATCACAGCATCCCCATTGAATCGCCGTGAAATCTCCTGTAGCATAGCGTCGCCATTATAGAATAATTGAATTTAATTCATAATTTTAAAAAATTTCCCGTCTTTTAAAGAAAAATAACAAGCCTTCAATTCCCGACCTCCGACTCAAATTACCCACAAAATTGTTGTACGGTAATTAGCATTCTTTTCCCCCTAAATGTCTTAGATATTTATGCAACATATGGTGATTTGATTTTTTTTTATGTTGCCATGGGTATTTTCTTTGTTTATGTCTTGATTATTTCAAATCCCTAAGTAATTTTGATTATTTTCCTTTTTTGTGTTTGTACGATCACTTATCTTTAGAAACACTGTGGATGAAATTGGGTTTTCCTTGTGGCTTTATTATTTGAATTAGTATTAATTTTATATGATGCTCCTTCATTGGAACCATGCATTGTTGATTTGGTAGTTATTCTCTGTTAGGAATTAGCTAAATATATGCAATTATAACACAAGATGGTTGATAATTGTTCCAATGTTATTTTCTGAGACAACAATGCTTGGCTTTGATTTTATCTGTTAGTGTGGAGGGAAACGGTTTTAGCAGCTTGTTAAATTTGAAGGTTGTGTTTTCCTTTATATTCCTGTAAATGGGTGCTCCTAAGCAGAAATGGACACCTGAAGAAGAGGCTGCGTTAAAAGCTGGAGTCATCAAACATGGTGCTGGAAAATGGCGGACCATATTGAAAGACCCAGAATTTAGCGGTGTCTTGTATCTGCGTTCCAATGTAGATCTTAAGGTTTGTTGCTTTTACTTGGGTAAAATGATTATGTTTATGGGCTCGTTTTTATTCAAGTCTTAATGAATAGTACCTTTAGTCTATGTTGCTTGGGCTCTTCATTGTTTGTAAAGTATTAGTGTCCGAACCATAGTCACATGGATCGCGGTACGCTCGGTACGGGAACGTGGAACGGAATCGCAATTCGCTAGGTCCCTAAAATTCGGTATGAGGGGGTAGACTTATTTCGGATCGCTCCGGTAAGATGTACTATATAAATTGGTACGATGTACCAGTTTCTTAGATAGAGATCAATTATGCATGGCTCCTTTAGGAACAAAATAATTCAAAACTCAAAATCTAATATGCATAAATCCGATTTAAGGACTAAAATAAATTGAATAAAAAATGAGCATGGCTCCTTTAAGAATAAACCCACGCGAACAAAAATGGACCACCCTGGACCCCAATTAAACGGCAGTGTTTAACCAAACTATCTAAAGCCTTTAAAATTTAACCTAAAAATAAATCATAATTTATGCTAAACCTAATCCCTTCCCCCTGCGCCGTTTTGAACCTCTTCTCTTCTTCATCCTTTACTCCTCACACCCGCATGGCCGAAAGTCTTCACATCCCTAGACCCGAGCAAATTCGAACCCTCTTCTCTTCCATCACCTGAGAAGGAAACCCAAAAGGCTTCGATCATCGATCATCAACCCCGATGAGAAGCTGTTTTGAAACGGTTTCCCCTCTCCCTCTTATTCTCCTCTGATTTTTTCTCTCAAACCCCCAATCCCTTTATTTTTCTGATTGCATCTCCTCTTATCCCTGCTGCAAAACTATGATGTACCGAATCGCGATTTTGAAACGATCCGATTGCGATTTTGAAATGATCCGAACGCGTTCGTACCGCGTTTTGGATCGCAACATTCAGTACGTAGATCGTGGCCAAATGAGCGATTTATGTAACTATGGTCCGAACACTCGTATCTGGCACATGGATATAGTGATATGACTTCTAAGGATCCTTTAATTACATAGGAAAACTTAGAAAATATAACATATCCATCTTATATACATATTTATATACGGCACTCATACCGGGGCTTTGTTTAACATTGGCATGGTTTTGTTCTAGCCAATTCATTTTATTCTTCTGTGTAGGATAAATGGAGAAATATGAGTGTGATGGCCAATGGATGGGGTTCTCGAGACAAAGCTAGATTGGCTGTGAAAAGGACATCTAGCTTTCCTAAACAGGAGGAAAGTACTACGGAGCTTGCTGCTGCTCCAAGTGATGAAGAAATCGTGGATGTTAAGCTCATCACAGCTCCCAACACTACATTGCAGATTCCTTCTAGTACAAAGAGATCCATTGTCAGGTAAGACATCATTCTTGTTTTTGTTTGATGTATTTTCATCTTGTATCACTTCACTTCTGACGTTAATTCTTCACTGTTGTAGATTAGATAACCTCATTATGGAAGCGATTACAAGCTTGAAGGAGCCTGGTGGTTCAAATAAGACAAATATTGCTGCATATATTGAGGCATGGTTTTGATGAAGTTTTCATGTTTTTTAATTCAATTTTATGTTTTCTATTTAAAGAAAGTATAGCAGTCGATGTCTGTAATAAACAGAGAAAAGTGGAGCATACCTGATTTTGAGATATGAGAACTTTAAAATGCCACATGATTGGTTGATATCCACCTTTTAATTTCTTCTTTAACCGGCATCAATTTCTTTTCCTAGCTATCACAAAGAAGAGAAGTGATGTGAGGAAAGGCTGGTGTCAAATAAATGTTTCATTATACATTTCGAATTTTAAGGCGGTTGAAATGGAGTACATATTTATCAATTTTGTCAGTTTTCTGTATGCCTTTTGTTTAGGGTATTGCTAGTCTTATTTACTTTCAAATATAGAACCCTGCCAGTTCTGCATGCCGCAAGAAATTTGATGGCAGTTAACTTGTCAATAATAATTTCGTCATTTT